AAAAATTAGGACGAAAATTTACTTCAACTCGGAGTAAGTTTTAAATTCCTTTGTTTCATCAATTTTCTTTATAATGTCATCTACAAGTGCTAGACGTCTTGCGCCAAGATTTTTAAGCTAGACAATGAATAATTAACATCCGTTGAAATTAATTGCAAATTCGAATTGCACTAAATACATATATATGTGTGTATACATATTTTTTTCCAATACCCCCTCATTGATTTAATCACGAATAAAATGTGAGATCAGTTTGAGTTTCGCAACCAAATCGTAAACAACGCAGACAAATTTCATAAGCAATGAGATCACGATCGTATCATTTTAGTTAACAGATTCGACAACAGACGTGTTTAAAAAAAAATTACTCTTTGTCTAGCTTCGTCTAGCTTTTTTACATTGGTAAAAACTTGCATTGTGCCATGAATCCACTAAAAAATAGTACAAATCAATCCACGCACAAATCGATGAGTAAGTAAATAAATATATATTTCTCGCTTTTCGGGGGATTGGGGGGGGGGGAAGGAAGAGGGAGAGGGTTGATTGCGACGAACAATAAGCGCTGGTTAAAATTTTACTATTATCATAACACGCGTGTGTGGTTAAAACATGATTAAAATGTGTGTATTATATATAATATAATGTCAATTATGAATACTTGCCGTGGGCGCTGGCAATACACGGGAAATCCTTTCATATATTCATTTATTTAATTTGTGTTAAATTTCACACGACTTTCACGCTTCATCGCTCATATATATGGAATCATCGAATCACTCTATATAAAACTTAATACTCTGACAATTGTCATCGGTGATTTTTTTTTTTTTTTTTAATTTTTTCAACTTATGCGTAAAGGTACCTTAATTTGTCAAATGCTCTACAATGTGACATGCATAACAATGCAAACGTATTATATAAACAATAATGTTGTCGTGACCATCTCGTCTAAACAACCTCGAAACGTCAATACAAAGTTGATGAAGAACGAAAACTTGTAAGAAAACCCAAAAAAGAGATGGACAGACCGAAGCCGCGAGCGAAGAGCGCAGACAATTTCCATAAAACATTACAAGTATTTTCCTCGGTTGAACTTCTTGATTAAATCTCTCGGCGAGTAATAACGCGAAAACACCAGCAACAGACTCTCTCGGGGTGGAAGCGGCAAAGTTGCAATACTGAGATATAACAGAAACTTGCGGCGTGCCGGTGGTATATGGGCACTTACACCGGCGCATGCACTTACTTATCTACTTATGAGCGGATGGGTATGCGGTACACAAGGAAGAAGCGGACACATATAGAGCTCAGGGAGTAACCCTGAAAACTCTCACCTTATTCCCATCTCTTGGTCACATATAATATATATATACACACAGCTACGCTCGGACAGGGCCTGGATCTCCACGTATGCTTGAAGGAAACAACGACGCGCTCCCTCCGATATACTCTCAGGCAGCTTTTTAGTCCAGACGTGGCGAGAGGCAAAAGGCTTGTTTTACAAAACGCGNTTTTTTTTTTTTTTTTTTTTTTTTTTTTTTTTTTTTTTTTTTTTTTTCATCTCACACATACACACACTCGTTTTCACGCACTCCATAAGTTTGTCTAAAATGTTCGACAAATTCGCCAACCCTCGCTGCGACAAATGTGAAATTTGGTCTGTTTCCCCGAGGTTACTCCGACAATAATCCCTCGAACGAATTATGGCATGAAATAATCCGGGTGATCGCCCTCCTTCTCGAACCTCTTGGCCTCCTCCTGCATGCTCTCCTTGATCTTCAGTATGGCCGCTGACTCGTTCTGGTCCTGCGAATCAACCAACACCAGGTCGGTTACAACAGCCGATTCTCGGCCACCCCCGAACTCCGTGGCTTCAATATATCTTTTTCAATGTGTACTTATTATTGCCGATCGAGTGCGTCTCTTTTTTTTTCTTTGATCGAAACATAGCTACAGCATTTTACCAAGATGAGTCAATTCGAGGTGAGACTCGTAGGATAGGTTTTAGTATTAGTTATTGCCGCATGTCACATTATGAAATGGCGCTAAATTGGCGCTCTTTTTTTTGAACACGTCAAATAGGATAGGTTTTAGTTTTTACTTTGGCCACTTCATTTCTTTTCGGCGCTAGTAGTCACGTCTCACGTCGAATATTTTCTCGCGAATAACAAGAAATTACCAAAACTTTACGATCTTGGGTGAAATGCTGATCGGCATTGGTGTTGGAAAAAGAACTCGATTGTGTATTCAAACACAAGCCCTGTTTGCTACTATGTGTGTGTATAAAAAGCGTAAAATAAAAAAAGCTACTATCCACTATTATGCGTATTTAAAAAATAATGTAATGGATCTGAGGATATCGATCGAGCAATTCATTGCAGGTTACACTCAAACTTGGGCACTTATTGTTTTATAAATTCTCAATTAAATTAAAATATAATCATATCATGAAAACGTGTGATGCATCGTTCATAACTACTTATAACACAATACTACTATTAATAATAGTTTTGTTATTTATTTTAAATAAGTGTTGTTTTGCAGTCTAAAAACCATTGCAAAATGTTTTTTTTCTTTTTTTTCAGTTTTCATACAAACACCATTTAATTACAATGTATGAACATACATACATAAAAACACATTATATATCAACGATTTGTTGGAAATAATGTAGTAGTTTCCACAAACGGTCACAATGGTTTTATAGAAACATTTTTCACTTTTATCATTCAAATTTCTTTTTTTACGTTAAATATATATATATATTTTTTTTTCTCCTCAACGAAACATAGGATATGATGAATAAAAAGGAATAGTGAACTACGAGTTACAAGATTTATTATTAATCATGTAAAAAAAGGAAAAGTGTACCTACACGTGGATAAAATGTTTAGACACGTGTGACCATCTGTAGGTAAAGCAGGTCATAACGTTTAATTTTTTAAATGGTTTCAAAGTAATGATATTTACGATGTAAAGAGATTGAATGTTTATGAGCAAATATCGTTGAAATAAGGTTCACTTGTAGATGGCATTGTTTGTTCTAGCCTGGAAGACAAATTCGAAACAACAATCAGAATTTCTTGGAATTCTAAAAATTTTGTTATTACATTCAAATTAAATAACTTACCTTCGTCAAGCTTACTTCACCGTGTATAACTGAAAGAAAAAACATAAACTGGATGGACATTTGAAGGGTGATGGAAAGAAAAAGAAAAAATTCAACACTCGATTCTTATGTAGGATAGATGACATTTATTTCATTATCTTGAATCTATTGATTTATACTACTGATGCTATACTCGTACATATTACCTACAATTATGTCAATAATTATGCATGAATTCAAAAATGCGTGTGTCTGTTGCGCGAGTGTTTCATTAGAGCCTGCCGTTCCGCGTTTTTGCGGTGATTATATGTTTATTACATATACGTAACGAGACAACAAAAGAAAAAGAGAAAGCAGAATTGCACGCACAGCCAAAAAAAATGCCACTTTACTTTCAATCATATAATTATACGGTAGATGCCCAGCTTAAACGGCTAATCGATCGTGTCTGAGAAACTTATCTTTACAATCACAAAAATGCGAGACAAATCGATTTGGCCGCCATTTTATATTCACGATGGACCGCCATTTTGTTGACACCACATTCATCCTGTTTACAATTTTCTTTTTATTTTGTTCTCTGCTTTACGCTCAACACCGCTTTGAACTTGCATGCAACTTATTCCTACAGTTTTACGATTCGTTTGAACCTTTTTTTTTTGTCTTTTTGCTTCTACCCTTCGATCCCTTGGCAATGATTAAGAGGCCGCTCACGCGCTCTTTTATTTGGTTCTCTTTTTGCTTTGCTCCTTACGTACCGGTACGTTTGGTTGATGAAGCAGATGTTGTTATTTTTGTCTTTGAAAATGAGCACGAAAGCAAACATTGACAATAAAACGCGACGATTCACATGTGTATATATGTACATTGATGTTGGATACGAATTATACATACGACAGCGCAAAACGAATTATCGTCATAGTCATTTAAGATAATTTGTTTTGCAATATTCATCGGTTCTTAAAAATGTGAATTCGACATTTTTACGAATTGTTGTGTTTGAAGTATGTCGCTTGATCTTTATTGATTGAAAAAAAAAAAAAAAAAAAAAAAAAAAAAAAAAAAAAAAAGGTGACCACGAAAACTGCGCGTCTGAATTCAATCATACATCTAGAATGATTCATTGTATCGTACAACCGCAATAAGGTAATAATCACATACACATACATATATATATATATACTCATTTAACGGTTCTGGACCTAAAAATATCACTTGCTAAAATTTCGATTGTAAAACTCTGATTCCACCGGAAAATCAAGCCCCGTGCAGTTGTAACCATGGATTTTTGTTTTTCACGCGCACAACCCGTCATAATTGTTCATTTCATAATATTTGTTATGCTATAAGTGATATATTTATACACATTTCTTCGTCATAATTTATATATAATGTTGCACGCGAAAAAACTACACAAGGTGTCGTCACACACATTGTCACATTAAATGGTTAATTTTCCAGTAGAATCTACATCATATATAAATGGTTAGACACGTATACACGTTTTCAAGTCAATAGTCGCAATATATAATAATATCTTGTTTGTCTTGATTATTTAAAAAAGAGACGCGAGATATTCAATGAAAAACTTGGGAAAATTTTTTTTTTTTTTCGAAACTTCTAAAGAATATAATAAAATCTTATAAAATCTTTTACGCGCAATTATTCTCGTCGAGGAGTTTATATAGAGGAGCACACAGCCACAACAGCAATGGCGAACGAGTTACCCCCCCTGCCGGCAATATCATTTGCTATATTAATATTTTTACGACAACAGGGCCATGGGGGGGGGGGAAGACCCGTTTTTGTGCATGTGCTGTTCAATTTTTCCGACGACTAAGACCAGGAAGAGGAAGAGTATGAAAAACGTTTTGCGTCGTTTCTCGTTATCTGGTAATAATAATTTTTTTTTTTTTTTTTTCATCTCACACATACACACACTCGTTTTCACGCACTCCATAAGTTTGTCTAAAATGTTCGACAAATTCGCCAACCCTCGCTGCGACAAATGTGAAATTTGGTCTGTTTCCCCGAGGTTACTCCGACAATAATCCCTCGAACGAATTATGGCATGAAATAATCCGGGTGATCGCCCTCCTTCTCGAACCTCTTGGCCTCCTCCTGCATGCTCTCCTTGATCTTCAGTATGGCCGCTGACTCGTTCTGGTCCTGCGAATCAACCAACACCAGGTCGGTTACAACAGCCGATTCTCGGCCACCCCCGAACTCCGTGGCTTCAATATATCTTTTTCAATGTGTACTTATTATTGCCGATCGAGTGCGTCTCTTTTTTTTTCTTTGATCGAAACATAGCTACAGCATTTTACCAAGATGAGTCAATTCGAGGTGAGACTCGTAGGATAGGTTTTAGTATTAGTTATTGCCGCATGTCACATTATGAAATGGCGCTAAATTGGCGCTCTTTTTTTTGAACACGTCAAATAGGATAGGTTTTAGTTTTTACTTTGGCCACTTCATTTCTTTTCGGCGCTAGTAGTCACGTCTCACGTCGAATATTTTCTCGCGAATAACAAGAAATTACCAAAACTTTACGATCTTGGGTGAAATGCTGATCGGCATTGGTGTTGGAAAAAGAACTCGATTGTGTATTCAAACACAAGCCCTGTTTGCTACTATGTGTGTGTATAAAAAGCGTAAAATAAAAAAAGCTACTATCCACTATTATGCGTATTTAAAAAATAATGTAATGGATCTGAGGATATCGATCGAGCAATTCATTGCAGGTTACACTCAAACTTGGGCACTTATTGTTTTATAAATTCTCAATTAAATTAAAATATAATCATATCATGAAAACGTGTGATGCATCGTTCATAACTACTTATAACACAATACTAAATTAAAATTTTTCTTATTCAAACGTTAATGCCCGAACAAAGATTTTTTCTTCTAAATTTCATTTTATTTTACAATTTAAAAAAATACAATGCATAATATTTTTAGAAAAAATTTTTAGTACAAAATATTTAGAAAATTATGCACGCCCAAGTTTGGCTTGTACGAAAATAAATTAATAAACTTTTATGTATAATGAATTCACGATATATATGTACTTGCATTAAATTGCTCACTCGGTAGATGATGTTATTCAATTAAACATGTGTACACTGAGAGAAAAATATAATAAAAATCATAGAGAAATCCCAACAAAAATTACCATTCCGCAGGCTGGCAAAAAAAGAAAAAATTATTATTTTTAAAAGTAACAATCATTGTATTAATAGCTAAGATCATAGTTTGAATAGTTAGAATTATGGTCAGAACAGTAAAAATTTCGATGCGGGAAAATAAAATAATTAACCGATTCTTCTAAGGTTTACTATTCCAACATGGTAATTTTTACTGTTCTTACCATAATTTTCACCATTTAAACTATAATTTTAACTGTTGAAACAATAATCTTTACCATAAAAATAATAATTTTTTCCTTTTTTGCCACCTTGCATCTGATTTACTGTGTGGAATGGTAATTTTTTCTGGAATTTCTCTACGATTTTTATTATATTTTTTTCTCTCAGTGTATACTTATCGATTACATTGGTTTATANGTTAGTTGGGTGTGGTTTCAATAAATATTTTAATATTTCATAACTAAAGAATTATAAACAATATACATAATGGCACAATACAATATAAACAATATGGTGGCTGGTCAATACAAGACTGTGCACTTTCATCGAATGTTCCAATGGTTTCAAAACAAGTGTCTACTGCCTACGCTGATTACATCTGTAACGTCACGCTCACATTTATCACATACTTTTACACACTTATTTCTAGTCCATATTTAATATCCAAAATATAATTGCATCTTAAAAATTAAAACAAACCATCCTTTAGTACCGCTTTCTTTGATAGCACAGTAAGTAGTACATGCTAGCGAATGTCCCTTCAGAACGTTCATCACACGTAGGTTTTTTTGACAGATATTATTATAGCATCAAAAGTATACTAAAAATACCATAAGAAATATCCAAAAAAATTTCAGATCGTTCAACTGTACTCTCTTTCACACGTTTAATTTTAGAAATTTGTAATTTAACGTGTAACCTTATGAAAATTGCATTTATAAGATCTGTATGAGCCACCCAATTTTTGTTTGTATGAAAGATTACTTTTAGATAAACCTATATAATTTTCAAATCGATCTATAATTTTTTTTTAGAACCCTAAAAAAGAAGAGGTCAAGTATACGTAAAAGCGTGTATGTAAGTTCATCCATATGAGAAAAATAATTTCCAGCATTGCTGCATATATTTGCGCTCCTCCCACCTCTCTGAATTTTGTTCTCAATCACAAAGAAAAAATTATGAAAGAAAAAAAGGAATAAAAATTAATTGCTGCATTTATACAGTACGAAAATTTTTTGTTTCAAGTATTCATTAAAATTTTCCACTTTGAAATACGATCGCCTGTGATGTTCAATGAAATAATCACAGTATAGTTATGATGATAAAATTTATATGTGAATAAATAAATAATCCGAAAACAGACCGACAGATAGTTGTGTATGCATAGTTCGGTAGCCAGCACCCTGCAGGTTCAGATTTTGATAAATAAAAGAAAGACGCAAAAATCTCAGTGTTGTAGGATTACATTTATTGTCTCGATTTCTCCCTTGGTTTAAATATATATTCATCATATTTTACTAAAGTCATAGTATATTTTACAACGTGAGAGTATCCAAGTAAAATAATTAATTTAATAAATGAAAGAAAAAAAATAATAATAATAAAGCAACGATGAAGGCACCAAGGCGCGTATTCAGATGTGTGATAAACAAAATAAAACAATTTTATTCTTAATTTGCTAAAACTGTAGTAAAAATCGTATTGTTTACGGCACGCGGCAAGAGATAAACTGGCAAGAAAATTTTTTGATAAAATAAATATGAATGAAAAAAGGTTCTTTGTCAATCATTGACACAAAAAACGAACCTTGGAACCCAAACAAATTTTCGGTATCGAGTACACGATGCCGACGCGATTAAAATCACTAAATTTAATTAACATTTTTGTAGGTTATGAATACGCACCAGCAGCTAACTAAGCATACTTTTCCTCGTGCAATACGTAACATTGTAGATACACAAAAAAATATATTTTCACTCTCACAAATCATCACACTCAATAAAAAATTCTTAAACCTTATAAACCATAAGCATTTATACAAAATAAGAGCACCGTTATAGTTAGGTTATGTTCTGCACGTAAAGAGAAAAAAGCATGTAGATGACGAGCCGCTGGTGCGAGTCGTACGAAACATTAACTTGCTTACAAATTTATATCATTCGTTGATTTTCCATTCGTAACAATCATTTTATTACTATATTATCAGAATTATCGTCATAATCAGGCTATTCTCAAAATCGAAAATAACTAATAGCAGCATAGCATAGTCCAGTACTGACCAATAACCACCTGCGGACGGATGGATTGTATTATTCAAAGTACTTATATTCGTTTGTTTTTGAATCGAGAAATCGTTTTATAAAATATTTTATATCTACAACAACATTAAAATTTTTTGCTGTTGCTTATTAAATTTTTATGCATACGATATTTTAGGTTCAGTACTCACAAAACCTGTCTATTTTATTTGTGTGAAAAAACGTTAGTATTTTCATATCGATATGAATTTCATACTGCATATAGTGTTCATCTTAATCACCGTATTTTCATATTGACTCTTTATGAAAATAATACTAATCAAAGTTAACAATTCTATTGAAATAAAACCTAAAAAACTAACAGTATTTTGCCATCCTATTTTAGTCCACGAATCGAACTAAATATGTTATTATGCCGTTTTTTTTTCTTCAGAAATTACCTAATTATTATTTTCTTAAGAGTTGCATAAGATATTTGGTTTCTAAATCATGCAGCATTTTTTCAAGGAGAAAAATCTAGCTCTACTAAGACAATTAATTTTCAAAGAAATAGGACTTTAATATATAAAAATTAAAAAAAAGATTATGCGACCTAATCACAGTAGACTGGACAGTCGTAACAGCCTTTTCGTTCACCAGGCACCTCAGCTTACGCCTTACGTTTTCTTTAAAAAGTATAAATAAAGCTAAAATTTTAACAAAAACCTATGTGAAACCTAAACTTAATGACGAAAATGCAAAATAAGTTACAAAGGTATGACCCCTAGTAAACATTACGTTCGTTAAATTTTAAAAGCTAAAAAAATTTCTTTTTTTGTAAAAGAATATTATGTTACGTTTAATATTTTTTTAGGATTGAAATTCACAAGTTATGTACAAAAATAATGTTATTATAATTAAAAATCATGAAAATTCCGAATTANAAAAAAAAAAAAATTGATTAATAATAATAAAAACTCAACTTTTAAACCTAGTTGCAATCTTGTGAGTATTAGTAAAGCGTACATAATATCGTATGGCATATGGCAATTGTAGCAAATTAATTATTCGAAGTTTAAATTATATGCGTCATTAAAAAAAACTTAATATAACCTAACTTTAGATCGAGCAGGTGCATTGACAACAAATGCAAGTAATAAAAATATTGTAAAAAATAGCATTCTGTCATTAATTTTAAAAAGATTTGATCACTACTTTTAAAACAATATTTAAACTCTCGTTCTTTTGATCTATTACTTTTAAGACTTTTCTGCGTTAATATTCAACATATTTTTAGAGGGAGAATCACTGAATTTAAGATCGATTTAGTTCTTTTGTCTGACTATAATCCCTCGCTTTTTCTGACTGATCCTTTATATTTTCATTTTCTACAGAAGTGTTCCTCCGTTAGTTGCATCCTGGTTGTGATTCTTTTAAAAAAACTGTCGACAATAGAGAATATGATATTTATGCGATTAAAACCTCTGTTACGTGTGAGCTCAAGGCTGCGATAAATTTCAAGATTAATTTCAATGTCCAAAAAATACAATCCAAAAGATACACAACGTGTCATTTAAATCTACATCCCAAAAGCCGGAAAGACTGCTATTGCAAAGATTTTCAAATAGTTACTATATCAAGCAGATCGTTATCGTCAATAATCAAGTTGGTATTTGGTCTCATTGGTATTTAAAACAATTTTTTATGATGATATCTCATCATGTATAATATATTTATTTGATAGTTATGTAAAATAATTTCATGGTAACATTAATAATAAAGATCAAACAGGAACTAGTGATTTAATTTCCATGTAAAATCCTAGTTTTAGATGGGATATGGTAAAAAATGTTAGAAAATTTCTTTTTCTTCTCAATAATGACGCACCAGAACGTTGATAACGATGTACTTGTTTGACAAGTTTGAAAAAAAAAAAAAAAAGAAAAAGAAAAAACGTTTTTTTGGCTTTTATTCAAACAGCTTAAATGATAATAATTGTAAAAGTCAAAAAGGTTATGTATGACTAGCAAATACTCTTAAAGCCAGTCTTTTATCAAAAGCTACATCGAATTAAAGAAAGCTAATACTTACACCACATAACCCTTTAATGCCCAAATTTACTGAATTCTAGTAACAATTTAAACTTTATATTGTTTTCACAAAAACAGGTCACGTAAAAAATTTTTACCTAAATATTTTTATGCTCGATATTTTTGTAAATGAATTAAAAATTAACAAAAAATCTTGTATCAATGCTTTTTGAAAACATACTTCAAAAAATACAATTTTTTTTAATTACAATTTTCACTTTTTTAAACAAGTAACCCCAAAAATTGAATCACATATGCAGTTCGATCCTTAACTTTGAAAAAATTTTTTTATCAAATATGTGAGGTTACAAATCTACGTACAAATTGCCGTATTTGGACATTAAAGAAATAAAGAAGAACATTTTCATCTTAGTGAACATTAAATGGAAGTTTTGATTTCTTCTTTAACTCGATTATCAATAGCAAAAAGTTTCTAACACGCGCAAAAAAAAAAAAAAAAAAATAGTATCAATAATCCTCAAAGTCTGTTTTTTTGCGGAGCTTATTAATCAAATGAAACATTTTAAAAGCAATTACACAAATCTTTTGCAAGGACGTGCAAAGTGAGATGTTTAAAAATAAGTTAACAAAGGAAAAGAGCAGTACCAAATTGAAAGAAGCGAGCGAAGATGAAAAACTACCCAAGTAAGAATAAAAAAAAAAAGAAAAAAGGATAGCAAGGAGTGATGAAACAAATACAATTCAAATTATTGTCAATTATGTAAAAAAAGTGGAACAACTCACGTTCTCGTTGGGGTTGCCGAAGCCGCCTAGATTATAATCACCCATACCACTACCGCTGTCCTCCCTCGGTGTGCCTGGACCACCGTTTGCCGGAGAATTCTTCATACCATCGAGTCCGTCACCGTTGAGCACTGGGCCCATTGTATTTGGGCCCATCGGTCCCATGGGCCCACCCTCGGGACCACCGCTCATCGGGAAATCCTTTAGTTCGTACGAATACATTTTTTTACACTCAACAGCTTCAGAGCAACCTTTAATCGACATTTTACAGGATGATAAGGTGTTATCTTACGCCAGGCATGTTGCCTCCAGGTACTGGTTTCATCATCGTGTACATGTTTTCGCCACCGCTGTTACTACTGTCCTGTGGACTCGGCATTATCGGCGTCCCCGGTCCCGGTGGCCCACTCGAACCGGGAGGCCCGCCATAATTGCCCGGCGAAGACGAGGAATAATTCATCGGCTGCGGAAATTCAAACAAAAATTCCTGAGTCACTGCTCAAATTTGTTGATATTTTTGAGGTAGAAGAAAAAACCCTTACTGTCGACGTGTTGGGTTGCCATTGTGGTCTGCCACCTGGTCCGGCCATACTCATCGGCGGCATACCAGCACCACCCGGTCCACCGGGAGCTAAATTACTGTTTGGCGGTGGACCCCGCATGCCGGGGCCGTAAGTACCCGGGCCCATTGGTGGCATGCCACCTGGTCCTGCCCTTGGATGGTTCATCCTGGGGTTCATTGGGTTCATACCAGGCGAGCCTGTGAGAGAGAAAATTTTTTTAATTAAATTTAAAACGCTGTTTTTTTTTTTTTTTTTTTTTTTTTACTAATTTTGACGCGGATTTTTTGGATGATTGCTTATGGAATTACATCATGTACACTTTTTTGAAAATCAGAGTAAGATCTCTAGTTTCCAAATATGTTTTTCGATCTAAATGGGTTCGTGTGTTTGATGAACGTCTAGTTAAATTTTAATTGATTATTGAAAAAGATTTTACTCTGCCTCAAGTCAAAGAAAAAAAAAAAAAAAAAGTACAAAAGCACATGATACCAGCCATGCTCGTGGAGTTGTGATAAATGCAGGAAAATAAATATTGTGCAAGGCAAAAAGCAGTCTAAGTTCAATAAATGTACCGGTTGGATAAAAATTCACAGGTAAGTTATACAAATATAATATAATGTATGTTACTAGTACCATTTAGTATTTATACGTGTTAAAAAGCTCAAAGCACTAAAACTACTTGATGGTAAACTATGTTTCTTGTCCTTGTAAGTGCGTGATCAAGTATAATGTTGGAGTGGAAAGCGTTTTTGTATCGATACTAGTCTAGATTGTCTTCTTCTTTTTTCTTTTAATGTAAATAATTTTATAAAATAAAAGTTAATTTGTCCATGCTCAAGGAGTAGGATTCGGTATAAAATCAATATTCGACTCTTGTCATTTGAGTCCAATGAAATAAAAAAAAATGCATGTTCTTTATCAGGTATCATTTTTGTTTGAGAAAAAATTCAATAAAATTTCATAAAAAATATTAACCATGAAAGTCTAAAATAAAACTAGACGGTAAAATATTCAACTGATTCTGTCGATTGAAATAATTGTTCCCATGCTGAAGCGAAGTATAAGTTTAAAAATAATATTTTGTTGGTGATTGTGCGACCAAGCCTTTAGTTTTTACTTNAGCAGACACGTGAAAGAGAACCAATTTTATAACTTCCAAAAAACATTTAAAGTTGTTTAACAAACACTGTGTTACACGCGAATAGATGCAGTAAGCAGATAATTTGTTTATTGTATAAACGATTGCAGAACTAAATTCTTTTTTGTATGTAAAATTGGTTTAAATTTGACGTTTCTCATTAATAATATTTTAAATTTACACTAATTTTTATACTTTTTTCTTCCTGAGAAGTAAAGATATTTGACAAATTTAACTTAATGCTTAAGTCTAATTTGAATAAATTGAAATTTAAAAATATTGATTGTACAAATTGAACTGACGAGTGATATTTTATAAATGTTCAACATAACAAGTCTATATTTGAACACGAAATGTCAATGAGGTACAAACATACCATGATTTTGCTCTAAAACTATTGGTAATACCGGTATTCATAGCAATAACTACAATTATACACGAATGCACATAGAATTTTTAGATACATAACAAAATCCCGCTAAGTAATGAACGGCATATAATAAAAATTTGCAAGGTATAGTCGATCAAATTGTAGAGAACGAAAAAAATATTTTTTTTTCTTTAAAGTACCACTGTTTCAAGTTTGCCACTAGACAGTTCAAAAACCAGTCCACTCCACATCACAGCAATCCAATCCAAATTTAATATTAATTACTTCCTCAATTAATATATTGCTGTGTGGTTTTTGATATGCATGCGACTATAATATAATGCCATTCTCCGTTTTGCAACGCTTTTCAATGCCAAGAAAAACTTTAATCAACAACTACAATGAAAAATTACTCACCTTGTCTAGTTGGGTCTATACTGTTTGGCATCATCGGTTGCCCTGGAGGCTGTAAGTAAAAGTGAAAAAAAGTGAAAATATATAATATGGGATCAGTGACTACAGGAAAGTCATAGCAAAACATTTACCCCATTGAAATCATTTCCCATTTGTGGCATACGAACGTTCGGTCGTGGTCCTGCTGGGTACCTGGGACCCATGAATCCCTGTAATGATGATCGTTTAGTTAGAGCAATACTGCCAATATCATTAATTATAATTTTCAAAAAATCAAAAGACTAGTTACTGTTTCTTAACCACCAAATAACAAAAAAAAAAAAAAAAA